GTTTTGATTAAAGTTTTGGTTAATGTTATGGGTAAGAGACGTGTCAATACTATAGGCGTACTAAAATTCCTGAATCTTTTGCCAAACCTACATCGAGTGAACGTCGCAAAAGAAATGCTTGATAACAGTAAAAACCAAAATTCGTTAGAAGATACTGCGGGATAAGTCGGCGACGGCTTATAACAAGCTTATGAAAAATTGGATTAAAGAGTGTTATGCTTTTATTAGCTTTGGAGCCTATTTTGAAGGCGATAATAAGGGTTTGTCAGTCCGGTTCAAATTATGGGCTTTTCAATGAAGATAGTGCAAAGGAGTAAGTGCGTTTAGTGGAAAAGTAATTGGTTTTGTTTTCATTTGTCGTCACAAAGTGTATGAAACGGTTTCTACAAAGTAATTAAAAATCAATTTAAAGTAGGTTGTTAGTTTTAATATATGAGATACCCCAATGTAAATGTTATGAAAGCGATTGTCAGTCAAATGCCTGCGAAATCTAGGTCATAAAGCATTGTCAGTGTTGAATGACCCGTCGAATTGACTAAGTTTTAGTAGCTAAGTTAATAAAGACTGACCATAAGCGCATTACTGCAAATGCAAGATGAACTTACTCCGATTACATTGGCAATTAAATTAGAGCTTACAAGCGATTTAAATCAATCGAATTGTCAACGAAACAAGCACACAACAACAGATAATTACATGAACAAGAAGTACAACAATATAAGTTATTAGAAAAACATCAAAACATAACTGATAAGGCAGAGCTAAAGCATAACGGTGAGTTGGCACATCTGCATATATTGAGCAAACACCAAAGCTAATAATAAACAAGTTCAGGCAAATAGCTACAAGCGCCTAGTGACACACAAACACACACACATTCGCATAACTACACAAACCATATGCTTTTGTATTGTACCGTTAAGTCAACAATTGCGTGCGAACATAACTTTCTGAGTTGTCACTGTCGTCATGCTGTGCTATGCTGTGCTTTCTCGCCGTTCTCAAACATACATTTATATACGTATATATAATCTTAGCAAATAACTTGAGAACACTCATAGCACACGCCCACTAACACGTGTTTACATATAAATTGCGAACACACCYCTTGCCTGTGATAAACCACCAGCTTCAGCAGTTGATACGCCCTTCCCATAAAATCTCACCCTGAAAAGTGCTGCTAGTTCTAAGCTTMAAATAAGTAAGTATACCGTTAGCTTTGAATAACATACCACATAATTAGCCACCACATATGGTATGTATGTAATGGAGCCGACACGGATTGTGCGCCCTCGCAGATTGTTAACTTTATTTGGGTAAAGTTCGGCGTTCCGGGCAAAAGTTTCGTTCGGCAAGAATGCGTCCAGCAGCAGTGCTTCCAAATTGCCGCTGGCGCCGACAAACTTTTGTGTCCACAGTTGGATGTTGATGTCGCGGTGCATGCTTGGAGATGCCGTGGCGAGTGTGGATAACGGTGTGGTTGTAGTTAGTTTAGTTGTTGCTCTTGTATTGGGTATTTGTTGAGTATACTTTGAATTGACTTTTGTTTTGGTAGAAATACCTTGTGSGTTGTCGCTTTGTTGTGCCGTGAGCGTTTCCGGTGTCACCATAAGGTGGTGCGGGTAAACTGGAATAAATCAAATAYAGAAGTATTTACAGCAATAAATAATGTTGTTGGTCGTTGTTGCAGTAAAAGCAATAAAAAGTGAATAATTAAGTTCGGCTACTGTAATCGCTGTTTTTATTCTATGAATGTTTGGTAATAGAAGCTGCAGCTTGATCGAATTTGTAAATACCTATAAAATGAATTTTTGTTTATATGCTTTTATATAAGCATATCACTTAACTTTGCTAGAGAAAATATACGTACAAGAATCGTGAAGACACAAAAAAGTACTGAAAGCAGTGGGGCGTATACGTTACTTTATTTAAAATATTTATGTAAATACTTTTGTAAATGGGTTTATGCAAGGGAGTATATACATAAATATGTTCAAAAATAATAATTATTCATTTATTGCATTAAGAAATCAATAAGTACAATTATATTACAGACGTTATATTTACGAGAGTTGCCTTTTACATTTCTGGATTTTTCTAAAACAAGTAATAAACTTTGAAAATAGCTTTATTGTTTTTCAAATAATTCTGCAAAGATTTACACACTTTGGCATGTGTTTGAACCAATTATTGAAACACTTATGTCACACTGACTGAGCTATCACCAAAACAAGCCTTTCAAAAGCATTAATTGTCTCGTCAGGTGTCGCAAAACGGCAGCAACTTAGTTTATTTGTTACGTACGTGAATATTAGAAGTCATTCGGTGCYAAGTAAGGACCATACGATGGCTGACTCATCAAATGTTCTAAGTGCTTTAAAATGCAGTTGTTTCTGTGGATGTGTGAGAGCTCGCATTTTTTGTTGAAGAGTGATCCGTTTGTAGCACTTGATTTTCCTAATTTCTCGAAAGACAATTAGCAAACCAATGGTTGGGTGGTTTGCTTATGACTGGTCTAGTTTTTTGAAACCATTTGCTTCATGAGTGAACAAGTTTTGTTGAATTCAGCTCCGCTCGAAGAACCTATACAGTCCCATATGCATAAATCCACCATTCATCACCTGCCACAATGTCTCATACGTGTTTCAAAGCATAATTAATGTATTTTTTTAACGTTTCTCTCGACCAATCGACACGGRATTAAATGTATGCTGGTCTCAATAATGCTCATAGTTGTCTCAAACTCATGACAGGTCACATGTCGATCTTGCAATTCGGTTTGAGCACAACAAATTGAATTAAGTTCATCGATGCACTGTTCAATTAAACTTTTTGGTCGAGATGAATATGTTTAGTTACTGTGAGCAACACAAATAGTGTTTGTATTTTGGGTGCGGAATCAAATTTCTGGTGCSKAAACGTTCAGAATGCTAGAAAAGCCCTTCGGTGATRTTTGTTCGTCGTGCGCAAGTGTTTTTGATTGGTACAAATTATTCAAGTCGAGAATGCGTTGACGACGAACCATGTCTAGGACGGCCATCAACATCAACTGATGATCAACACGTSAATAAAATAAAGGCAGTGGTAAGACCTTACTGGCATCGGCAGGATCAGTGAAAACYATTTTGAAATATTATTTGGGATTAAGAAAACTAAAAGCACGCCTGGTTCCAAAATCACTCAATTTTTTCGAAAGATAGCTTTAGCGTATGTGAAGGAAAGTTTTGCGACTACCAGAATGTCATGAAACGTCTGAGCTTTGGATCTATGCTTAGGAAGATCAGTGGGGTGAACATCGTGGCCACGGTGAGCCGAAGCCGAAGAAAACACGTCAAAGTTAGTCAAAAATCAACGTTATGTTGACAGTTTTCTTCAATTATCGWGGTGTGGTGCACTTCGTATTCTTTCCGCCTGGCCAAACTGTAAACAAGGAATACTATTTGAGTATTATGCGTCATTTGCGAAGCTATTCCTAAAAAGAGGTCGGAATTATAGGCCGACAACTCTYGGTATTTGCAGCACGATAATACACGGTCACATACTGCATTGACTCTTCGTGAGTGCTTCGCCAAAGATTCCAATATCTTGWCGCAATCCCTGTATKTGCCTGAWTTAGMTCAGTGYGACTTCTGCYATTAAGYGTGARTTGTCCGGAAATTGACCTTAAGAACTGTTTCRAGGAYTGGAAAAAACGTTGGCACAAGTGTAGCGGGGCCAAGGGGAAGTCGTTTTTGTTGAAAGTAGTAAAACCATTTTTTGGAATGATTTCCAGGGAATTTAGAATCATATAGCAAGGGTCAAGGTAAAATGAAAAAAAGGTGATTTGTTCGTCTTAAGGTATCTTAATGATTTGGAAGAAAAACAACACCAATGGTTGACCATTACTAGCTATAAGGGTTGACAGATTTCCGTATATACCAAAAGCCGACAATCCTTATTGCGGCTTGCGTCAAATAGTCGTTATTTACTCTTAAAGTGCATTTTGGTATTTTGTTGCCGAACGGCAGCTATATCCGTCATGTATGTCAYATAAATAAGAAATGGCAACTTTAATGTATAAATTATATATTTTATCGATATATGAATTCTCTAGGGTTGTACATATCTCTGTACGGTATGAATAAATTACATACAATTTATCACGCRAAACTTTGCTACGTCAAATGAAAACAATTTTTTGCAATTGTAGAATTTTCGTAATTCTGTGCATTCATTGCATTTTTACTCACACTGCAGTACCTCGGTTGATAGCAGCTCCTCGGGACGTTCATGCTCACAAAAAAAGAGATAAAATTTATCCTTGAGGCGTAACTCCGCGTTGCGTGTGGCAAAGTAGCGAGCGTGCAGGAAACGCACTGTGTCCGAAAGAATGGTGATGAAACCCTGCGAAWAAGATTACACTTCAAAATACTGCAAAACAAACATTAATGCAAGAGAGAAACGCACTCAACGCACTAAGTACGCTTTCACACGCGAAACTCAAGAAAGCCTCAACGAACATAAATGAAACTGTAAACATACGCACTTAAGCAGAGGCAAATATACTAAAAACATAATGGGCGAATGAAGGCTGACAGCGCAGCGCTGTTATCACCGTTGCTAGCGATGGAGGCAGCGTGACGCTTTACCCACCTCGGTTACAATGTCAACGGCGCGCAGCACACACAGCTCCAACTCATCGTTGTAGGCCAAATTGTCAGCGCATGTGTTGTTGTAATTGTCTCCGCAATTGCTGCTGCGGCAGCTGCCTTCGCCGCTGCCACCGCCATYCAGTTGACTGACATCAATCCATTGCAGTCCAATTAGGCGTCCCTGCTGGGACAGATTGCGGAATGCCAGCTGCACTGCCTYGAGGTATTCCCGCTGCAAGGCGCTGTCTGCGTCAACGCGCCCATCATGGACAATCAGCACTGAGGAGAATTGTGCGAAGTATCTTTGTACTGTAAGAGAAAGCAAACGGAGCTCAGTGGCAGTAGCAGTTTGCGACACAGATAGTGACGGCTGTGAAATTCAAGCGGCGGCGGCATGTAAATTGGGTGCTAACGGTGRCGCAGTTATTTCCAGTAGCCGTTAGCCGGAGGTATGCAGTTAACTTACTTAAGAGCTGCAACAAAGTTGTGACGTGCGTTTGCGTGTGTGTCGACCACATTTCGTTCTGTTGTTGTAGACTTGTTGTTGGGTTTTATAGTTGCCTCTCCGGCCGTTGGCTTGTTGCTGTCGTAAYGGTTTTTATGCATCTGCTGCAAGTTGACTTAAAGGTTGCACTGCTTTTATACCCAGCCGTGGGCAAGCATGAATGTATTAAATRTTACCTTCGCATGCCTAACGAGCGAACGGAGGATCCGCGTAGGAAATGGTYATTTAATTGGTCTAAAGAGGGACAATTTGCCGGGAAATTTGTTGATATATGAGCTATTTTCGCAAATTGAAAAATAATTGCTAGTTAAACAGTGAGCTGGTGCACATTTCAGCTGCGGAAAAGAAAATAGTTAGGAACGGTGGTAAATTTATTTGGTTTAATTTTTAATGAGAAAAAATGTGGAGAGAATTGGACAGCTYGCTTATTATGACCATATTGATAATTGGTTAATAGCTATGTGCGGGAACTGTGTTCTTCCTAATGAATTATATGATTGTTAACTTTAGGATAATTGTTTATAACGGAAGGACTATT